GATTTGCAAGTATCAAGCTGGGGGAAAATAGCTAAGAGTTTAGATGATAGACTCAAGATTCAGAGAGACCTTGACAAATGTGAACACTGGGCCCTATCCAACAAAATGCAATTAAGTGGTGAGAAAAGTAAGGACTTACCCTTAGGCAAGAAAAAAAAATCAAAAGCACAGGTATAGAAATTCTATTCTATTCTGTTGTTTCTGTTCTGTTGTTCTGTTCTGTTTTCCATTCCATTCTTTATAGAGAGTGTATCAAGTATAGAAATTTTTTGACGACAACAATTAATCAGTGGAACAGTTTGCCTCCAGAAATTCTGTGTGTTCCAAGTTTTTATGAAAGATTGAACAACAATTTGACCTGAGTGGTATAAAATCACTTGCTTGAGTAGGGAATGGACTAAAGACCTCCAAGGTCTCTTCCAACCCTGTTATTCTATATTCTAAGTAATTTTTCAAAGGCTGAAAAGAAATAGGTATTGAGCTATTTACTAAGTGGACTGTACTTCAAGATTTCACTTTGAACAGAATAGAATAGAATCTTTATTACAGTCAATGATCAGGACATAGTAAAACTTGATACCATAAACATATTGCATAAGCGTAGGAAAGTATTAATCATAAATCTAATTAGACTTATCATTTAATGGGCTATGTGTTTTACTTATAACAGCAGATTATACACAATCAAATGTAGGTAAAAACAAAGTTGTAAATGATCTGCTTTGGATAACAGGAAATATTAAACGTGGGTTATAAGCTCTATGTTACAGGGACATGGTGGCTCAGTGGCTAAGGCGCTGAGCTTGTTAATCAGAAAGGTCGGCAGTTTGGCGGTTCAAATCCCCAGTGCCATGTAACAGAGTGAGCTCCCATTACTTGTCCCAGCTTCTGCCAACCTAGCAGCTCGAAAGCATGTAAAAATGCAAGTAGAAAAATAAGAACCACCTTTTTTGGGAATGCAACAGTGTTCCGTGCGCCTTTGGCATTTAGTCAAGCTAGCCACATGAGCATGGAGACATATTTGGACAGTGCTGGCTCTGGCTTTGAAACAGAGATGAGCACCACCCCCTAGAGTCAGGAACGACTATCACATATGTGCGAGGGGAACCTTTTCCTATAAGCTCTAAGTACATATCAGCAGAAAATAGGCAATGTAATATAAGAGTGACATGAGATTTTAGTGGTCCCTTGCCACTCTCAAATGGCAAACAATGTAGCTTGCGGAGCAGAGGTGTTAATATGCTGTTCTAGAACCACACCTAACTGTCTGCACCACTACATTTTGTACCAATTGAAGTTTCCAAATACTTTTCAAGGGCAACTCACATAGAGTACATTGCAGTAGTGTGATCTGGAAGTGACTAGGGCATGAATGACCATAAGTAGGGCCTGCTGATCCAGGAATAGTTGATTCTGCAAAGATCTACCTGGCCACAACTGCCACCTGCTTATTGAGCAGGAGTCATGAGTCTAGGAAGATCACTAGGTTGCACATTGAGTCTGACTAGGATAGCGCTATCTCATTCAGCATCAAAAATGACCTGGTCCTTGAATCAGAGGGCCCCCAAAATCAAAGCTACTCAGTCTTGCCAGAGTTCAGCTGAAGCCTGTTGCCCCCATCTAGGGCCTCACAGCCGCTGGAAAGCAGGATAAGATGGTCATGACATTTCTTAATTTCCCAGAAGTAGAAATGTACATATCATGAACATACAGATGATCCCGCTCTCCAGTGTGGGATGCTGCCGGTTTAACAAACGGTTCAGTGAGTGCGCACTTCGCCTAAAGCGCTTGCACACAGCGTTGAAAATGGAGCATTTAGAAGCTCAGCTGCTTACCTTCAAGTCAGCAACAGTAAGTAAAACAGCGAGGGGGAGAAAATCCACTGTACCACATGATTGAGATGAGTTAGAAAGCAGGAATTAAAGGACAGAATAGAGCAGGGACAGGTGGGTGGGGCCAACTGATTGTCAGAGCTACCAGTTCACCCGAACTGGTCTGAACCAGCTGAATACTACCTCTACCTCATTCCATGGTGATGGAAGACCTCATCCAGCAGTCTCATGTTGATGTTAAAAAAGTAACCAAACATATAATTGGCAGTCCTTTCTACTACAATCCAGTTAGTCATTCATGACTAGCTTCTGAGATTGGTTTAGACCCTAGCTGTCAAACTCCTGGCCCATGGGCCAGATGCATCACACGCTGGCCATGCCCACGCCGGTTTAGCAAAAGAAAAAAAAGCTGTGATACATCATGTGATGACACAAGTTTCACAGCCCTGGTTTAGACCAATAAGCACATTTTTTATGTGGTTAGATGGCTCCATTGATGAGAGGGCCACTTTTCAATTCTCCCTTCACTTTGATTGTACTTGGGTTTTTTATTATATTTATTATGGTTTTCCTATTTGCATTCCTTTTAAAATTTATTTTTATCTATTGTCAGTACCACCACAGTTGCTTTCAGCGAGGTGGGTAGCTACGTATATATAAGTAAAGTTCCATTTCCTGAAAAAATATTGAGCTCTCAAATGGGAGCTTGCAAGAAAGGACATGGGATGTAGATTATAACTGTGTATAAATAAACCCAAATACTTCCACAACTATCTGCATCACCCACACCTCTAGCTGCAAATCCTTTCCAGTGCTGTGATGAATGTAGCCCTGAATGAAAACAGAGCTTCACTCAAAAGAAGGCTTTTGGATGGACTGGATGAGAGCAAGCAATGCAACCTGGTCATCGGTCGTTCTCCCCCCACCCCCCAATTTCTGGCATGCACAGCAGGCTTCCTTTGCATATCTTTCTATTGCTTTTCTCCTTTTTGCTCTTCATGTGTTGTGTTAGCCAAAAAAAGATCCTTCCAAAACATTACAAAATTAAGTACAATACGGATCTTTATTTAAAATGTTGATGTTACATTGTGTTTTGTATGGAAAGAACTAAGCACTCGAGAAACATGGTGCGTTTTATTTTTATTTCAGAGATGTTAATTGACAGCTGTAGAAATGAAAGTTTGAAACTTTCATCATTTTGCTGCAGCTTTCCGGTAGTTTGGTTCTCATGAAATAATATGTAAAATGCTGACACCTAATGTTAACTTTGAGTATTATCGTAAGATGCATTCTGTAAAAAAGTTAATAAAATCATTATGCTACAACTGATAGAAAAATACCCAGAATAGGCCATTGCTAATATTACAATATCAAGGAAATTAATTGAAATAGGGTATTATTTTGTCCGAACATCTTCTCAAAGCTAGCAGAAGCTAAACAAGTCAGTAAACTATAACACTAGAAGAATGTTTCATGTATGTGTTAATCACCATTCAATAGTGCTTTGCATTCCCAAGAAGTTCCCTTCTTTATGCCCCACTACTAACAAATGCCTTAATTTTAGAATCTGAGAACCACTACCTAGACATAAAACACTAGTTTCAATTGCAAATATTCAGCAGCATGATGAGACATGAAGATAACATTGGCTAAAACCTAACATAGTCTGATATTCACCTCTCAGTCTTTATCACACTGGGGAAGGCAGTTTGTAATATAGGTTCTAACACAAGATAAAGCACAGAACAGCTTCCAGGTTAAATGAGGAAACCCAGCCCAAGTATGCATTAAGTCTCTCAAATATCAGTGCCCACCAAGCCCAGAAAACTGCTGTAGAAGCTTTATTCATTAATAATGCCTCAAGCATGATCAGAAATGTATAGAACAATTCAAAGCAAAGTTTGTGTAAACAAGGACCAGTGAGTTGAACTTAAAAGAAAGGATAACCCGACTTAATATTAAGAAGAATGTTGTAAGGGTAGAAGCCATCTTTTACATTGGGCCTTCAGGCCTGCCACATTTTCTGCTGTGGGATAATGGGAGGGGGAGATACATGGAAGATATATAGTTTAAATAACATTCCTTTCTCAGCGAGTCAAGGACATCCTGCCCGGCACCTATAGGGGTGTGACTGGGAGGCATCTCCAGTTGTGACAGTTCCTAATTGGATCATGTGATGGACATGTGAGTGCTGGGCAGGAGGTGGACTTTCACTTGGGTGGGGAAAACCTGGAAGCTTTCAGATTCGGGTTTTCCCAGATGTGCCAATATGACATCTCTAATAAAATGGAACTTTGTGAGAAAACTTAAGCCTCAGAGTCTTCTTTCATTGGGGGTGTTACTTGAAACCCTGACAAATATTTTGATGAAGCAGCTTTTAAATAGTGAAACAATCTCTCCAAAATAATGGTTGACTCTCCTTATTGGCAGTTTGCAAATGGGGATTAGATGCCAATTGGTGGATTCCTACACTAAAGGAATCCAGACTTGTCAGGCACAAGGAATCAGAACAATTCCATGCGTAGGCTAAAGCAGTTTATGTTGATCAGCCATTCATTTACAAGACTCTTACTAGACTGACTGCATTCCCTTGGGAAATAGCAGATAAAAACATCAATAGTCTGGCCTCATTCATTTCCTCCCATTGAGCGATTCCATGCTGGAATGCCTTTTTATTCCTCCTTTTCCTTTAGCTGGTGATTCCACCATAAGACCCTTCCAACTCATACATTCTATGAGTCTACAAACCCTTGTGAACGCTTACATACTGAATATGAAATGTTTAATATATTAATTTACTGACAATTAATATTCTTTTTAATATAAGTCACAGATCAAATGTAAAATACATCATACCTAAAAGGTTATCAATAGCACTATTTGGACAACACCTTTAAGAACAGATTTCAGTACTTGGAAAAGAGTTATGGTTCCTTCTATATTTAAGTCAACAATATGAGGTCAATGAATTGCTAGCCATTCATGGTGACAGCCCAAAGTGTCAAGAAGTTTCTACTCTTTATGTGCAGGCTAAAGATCCCTCCCAGGCAATGCAGAGAAAGGTGGCTGCTTGCCACTTAATGTGCACTGCTGTTTACACAGAAAAGTATCACACAAACAGGAATGATCAAAAGTCCTGTTCTGCATAATGATGTCACACAAAACTTCCAGTGGGAGAAAGCATGGGTTTTAATAAAAAGCACATTACAATCCAATATGAAAGTGAATTAATATTTGGAAGTGAAGTAATAGAATATGGCCCAATCTGGAAGAAATCCCACCCATACCTCCAAACATGTTCAAAATCTCCAATGCATTTGGTCAGGAGAAGAGATAAAGATATAGTTATATCATCAATAAGATCAGGAAAATGACTTTGAATTTGCAGTCTGCTTTGCAGCTGCAATTGCTGATCCTAAGATTTCAATGAAGTTGTACACATCCTGGAAAGTATTGTAGAGAGGAACTGGGGCTACCCGGAGAGCATCAGGTTCCCGCATGTCGCACTGCAAAACACCAAGATAAATATTCCACAAATTGAATTCCTTTGTATTGGTTTGTCAAAGTGAAAATACAAAAAAATCACATGTGTAACATTTGTGTACTTTTGTTAGAATAATAAGCTGCCACCATACTTTCCTACAAACCTTTCACTCTGTAATATGGAAGAACACAATGACAAATCATTTTCATATTGTTTTCAAGAAAATTAGATGATTTGCGCTAGGATTTCAAAAAGTCTTCAAAAACTCTTATCTTTAGAGTGTCTTTCCAATCATTCCTTTGTTCTTGGGTGGAATGATAATCCCAGTGAACCTCTTGTCTTTTCCTTTAGTCACAAAACATAATACTCTAATAAGTCTCAAAATTCTAAGGTATTAGAACCAGGCTTGTCTTTCCATTGGTGGAAGGAACCAAAACCCACCAGACCACAATTTTCCTTTCACACAAGGTTCACAAAAGCTGCATTATAAAATTATGCAGCATAATTTTCCGGAAACATTTTCTTTGGGTAGTGATTTGAAGGAATTGTTTGATATGATTAAAAAATGAAATATTTTAAAGAAGAAACAAAGGAAATCAACCAACCAACCAACCTTTAGACAAGGAGTGTTCAATGTTGGCAACTTTGAAGACCTTTGTGGACTTCAACTCCTACCATTGCTGGCTCCTGCTTTAGACTATTTAATGCTATTGTATATCCATCTCTATCTTTATGCTACCCAGTTCTAATTTTCCAAAAATTGTTGCATATTTATTACAGGCATCTGTAGCTTAGCCTTGGCCATAATTATATGAGGTATGAAAAGTCTCAAGTGATCCTTCCACTGCAATGACTCAGAAATGCTACTGCATCTCACCTACTCTACTTTCTGTTCCCTGAAACCACAAGGTCAACACTCAATATTTATGAACTGTGAAATGCTACTTTAAACTTTATTTTGTTTTGATTATTCTACCCTGGATATTATAATGCCAATATTATTCTAAAATTAATATGGCACTCCCATAAAATAAAAGTATTTTGAAGTTTCCAACATAAATCTAGGTTACTTACAGTGACTCCTCGTTTTTCCAGTTCTTTAAACACATCTTTGATTGGAACAGAGAAAAGTAAGGTGAGCTGGCATCCTCTTTTTTCAGGGTGGGATGGTGTGATCGTTTTTATAAGGGTCTTCTCAGGATCATTTCTATCTTTGCTGTAATAGTGCCTTATCAAATACTCCAAGTAGCCAGTAAGAAGCATGGATTTCCTTCTCAGGCGCTTCATTGTAGTTTGAGCAAAGATCTAATTAAAACAAACAAGCAAACAAAAACATAATTGCTGCATCAAAGAACATTCCTTTCTCTACAAAGACAGCCTAAAATGAACCATTTCAACCACACAATACTCTAGTTTGATTGATTGCCAACATTTATTTGATCACTAGCAAGATTAGTAGGAAAACCCAAAAGCTGAAGTTTCCCAAAGTTATAGCTAACCCATTTCTTTTATATTGTCCCCATATTGTAATGACATTTCATATATATTAAGCAATCAGTTCCCTAAGATCCTTTCCATTCACTGCAAACACCATGTACTGTAGCAAATACACTTGAAAATTATTTTTTGCTACTTAATTAGATGCACGCTATCTTCTAAGTACCGTTCTTCTCTGTTTCTGTACGTTGTGTTTCAAGGATGATCAGACATTCCCAAGAAAGGAACAGCATAAAGCTCAAATGTTTCCCAGGGATAGTAGGTCTTGTAGGAAATATGTGGATTGGGAGCATGAGGGAAAAAGGGAAGTTCGTAGAAACTGATGTGCCCCCTTTGTTAACATAATGCCACTGGGAACAAATATTCACAACTTTAATGTACAGGGACGTGAGGAGATAAAAGGATTAAAAAAAATACTACTTGCCAGCGTGGGGAAGGCCACAGAAGTCATCTCATATTGCAGAAACTTTAAGAAAATGATTTGCTGTAGACCCTTCCCAGCTGGAGTTACACTTATAAAGACTTTGTAGAGGAAATATACAGATGAAGAAAAATGTTTCCATCACAAATGTTCTTTCCCTGTAAAAGGAAAACTGCCTTTGTTGTGTGTTAACCCTGGCCTTGTTCAGCTGTTTCTTTATAAACTGTACCTTCTGCTTAATGTACCCCTGTGCAAGATGGTAGACCATTTCGTAAGTGTCATCTTTTGCCAGAGACCATCTATTTCACTGTACTACAGCAATTAGCGCAAGGGAATCCTGACTGTGCCAAAAGTATAATGCAAACACAAAAAGGGAAGTTCGTAGAAACTGATGTGCTCTTCCTGCCTTTGACCCCCTGCAGTGGGCTAAATGACAGATCCCCCACCCTCATTTGTAAGCACCATCTGGGTCAGAGCAGTATCATCTCTAAGGTCATATAAAGTTTACAAAATACCAAAGATGTTTTAAGGGTAAAACAAATTAATTGCTAAACAGAACGAATAAATACATGAATAAATAAATGCACACTTTCACTCACACCGTCTCACATACAATACACTGCCATATCCCCTTGGCATTTCTTATTGCAGAATTTTAAATCTTAATGTTTTCAAATAAAACTCTCTAGGTTATTAGTAATTCTGTGATTGATTTTGTTTTGTTTTGTTTTACTGGCAATGCAATTTAGGAGGGGAAAATATAGCTTGGTTTTCACTTCCAAAATGTCCCCAAGTGAGACTTCGGCAGCCTGAGATGAATAAAAATATGTGTGAATATCAAAGGATATGGATGGCTGTCAAATAGCATTTTTCAAAGATATACACACTACATTAGCTTCTGATAGAAATCAGTATGTAAGTAGCAAATTATGAATCAACACCCATTATATTAGGTTTCCCTAAAGATTGCTAATTGTTTTCTACAAAGCAACTAAGTGAAGACATGCGAGGTACATTAGAGCTTCTGTTCACAGAAACGAGACTTGATATATTAAATTCTATGTTATTCTTTTCTTTGAAAAAATCAATGATTTGTAAATCGGCAGTGAATAATATTCCAGGATATATTGCTTCTCAGTATTTCTATGAAATTTGGAGATTTTACTTGGGGTTAAAACTCTGGTTCCTTTATGTGATGCTTGCTTCAGCATTCTGTGCAACAATTCACGGGACTGAATGATAAAAACTTCAAAACAATGAAGCCGTCTGCTGACAGACATTTAGTTTTCCCTAGCTTCAACTGATAAATTAAGAAAGAAATTAAAATTTGAAAAGTTATAGTGGAATATATTTACTTATTTACTTTTTGAATTTAGAATCCCTTGGCTCCTGTTGACTCCAGGAAATGTTCAGTTTAAAACAAATAATAATAAGAAACAAATCATGGATGTGCTGATGAGAAAAAACATACAAACCAACAAGAATATGCTTTTTCTCAAAATGCCTATCCATATTTTCCAAAGAAAAAGATTCTGTCCCTATAATATTACAAATATAATATAATATTTGATGTAGCTTTGTTCTAAGAAATAGAATTACCAATAAGAGCAATTTTTGCATTTATAATGGTGATAAAGTCTGGCTATTCTGTAGAGTAGCTTCATAGCATAATCTGTTTTGGTATGTATGCTTTTCCTTATCTGGACATACATCCATGATTTTTTTTTCTTAGGTTTTGTAATTACTTGCTTTTAAAGTGAAAGCCTCTTAAGAGTCAATAGGAGCCAGGGGGCTCTAGATTAAATAAAAGAACTAAATAAGAAAATACATTCCCATATAGGCTTGCAAATTTTAAATTCTTTCTTAATTTATTGATTGATGCTGGGGAAAAATAAATGTGGATCAGTAAAAAGCTTCATTGTTATGAAGTTTTTCTTAGTTACTCTGATGGGTTGGCTCAGCTCGAAGTTACACAGTGCCTTTTTGGTCTTACTACCTTCTTAATTTTTGCACCAAAATATAAATTTAGAGGAGCAATGTTCATATTTTAGTTACACAATTTATTAATTCAATTAATCAATTTATTGCACATTTCTAGCTTCAAAGCCTTCCTGTCTTCTTTCTGATTCAAGCACTTAGCTATGGATCTGTTCATGTCCCTGCTGAAAGGGGAACGTGGGACTGCAATGGAACCAATGCAGTGGGCAAAGAAAAATGTGCAATGTCATGAGAGAAAGTATGTACAGTGGTACTTTGATACTCAACTGCTTTGAAACTCATCAAATTTGGTACTCAACGCATTTTGATGCAAAAATGTTGTCCTGATACTCATTGTTTGTTTGGTACTCAACACACAAGCTAGAACCTGTCGATGTTGCCTTGTAACTCACTACATTATTCCTTATGGGGAAAAAAAGGTTTGGTAAGCATTCTTTTTGGTACTCCTCGCACCTCCTGGAACCAATTAACACTGAGTACTGAGGTACCACCATAACAGATTTTCCAAAGCATTCATTTTTGGACAGATATTTCATTTTACTGCCATCAAGAAGGAATATTGCCTAATTAAACTTTTTTTTTCTTTGTTTCACTGTCTTCTGATAGCAGAAAATAATTACTCACCTCTAAGCTTGCGTGAAGAGCACAGACCAATAAGATGGAAGGATTAGATAAACGAAATCCATTGATTCCAGGGCTGAGTTGCAATTCTGTAACAATAATAAGTTGGGTGAAGAATCTGGTTATATATAGAGAGGTATATGGAGAGACATTAGGCTGCATCCAATATTTTATGAATGTCCTCTCTTGCAGAGAGCTTTTTCCAGGTCTCCCAAATTCAGTTTGATGCTAATCAAACGATTGGATGTCAACCATTTTCAATATTTTTAATGCAAAAAGAAAATTAGCTATCGATTATTTTAGATCTTTTCAACATAGTACCATATAATCCTCAGAATTTTGATTTAATATCATTAAAGTTGCAGTAAACAGGCATTTTTAAAAAAAAACATTTGACACTAATCCCTGAAGAAATGATCATTTTCAAAAATAATCAAGGAGTATAAATTTAAAAGAAATATTTTTTCTAAATTATTTTGAGGACAGCACAATTAAACAGGAACACTTATAAAAAGCAATAAAGCATTAGTATTAGTTAGTTTAGTGCTCCAAACCAACTCTTATTATGTGATATAGCAAATCCAAGTACATTTTAAATGCATAAAAAAGAGCATAAACAAAATGTCAACATTACAACACTAATCAAAATTAAACAAAAACAGGCTGCTAAATGACAGGGACATAATAAAGCCAAATAAATAATATCAAAATTTGGAATTTCCACACAGCAACCAATGTTTTCTTCCTGTTAATGCTAGAATAGTTGAAGCCACTAATTTATCTTATCTTTGTATTAAAAATGCTGGGTTTTTTTTCTTTTGACATTTTGGTGTTTGTTTGCTTTTTAAATTCCCAGGCAATCTTCCCCTACATGATTTCTCTCTTCTGCTCTCTTTTTCTTTTTCTATCTATTGTTGCGACATTAGAGCAACATAAGAAAGATGATGCCAAATGAGGCCTTTACAAATCATCTGTATAAAGTTGGACATTTTGTCTTCTGACTCTTTTGAGGTTTTAATTTCAGGTTGGAATGGAAACATTTCCCTGTACTGAAAGAATCTTTGCTATTATTTTGCAGCAATTTTATTACTTTTGATGCCGTTTATATACCTTCAACCCCCCTTCCCCCATTTTAAAGAGAAGGAAAAATATACATACTGTTTTCCATGAGAAACCTGGTTTTGTAGTCATGACCCCACCATCCTATTAAACTGGGGGGGGGGGGTGTGATGGTAAAGGACCAGGGAAAAAGAAATGACAAGGATTAGTGACACAATAAAAATATTTTTTTCACAGACATTTTCCAACAAGATGTATGAAGAATAAGTGAATGGTTTGTGGAATCTTTTTGATTTTGAGTACTCCTGTAGATGTTCAAGATAAAAACATTTTTCAGACTATTTTCACAATATAGAATATAGACATATCATAAAGTAATTACAAATCTATAAAGCATAGAGTGGGAGAAACTGATAATGCTTTTTTAGACTCTTGAGAGATTCATAGGCCTTAGTACTATGTCCACAATAATCAATGGATACAGGAAGTCCTCAAACTTGCAACCACAATTGAGACTGGAATTCTGGTCGCTAAGTGATGTGGTCATTAACCGTCATTTTACTGTGGTTGTTAAACAAATCACCATGATCATTAAGCAACTATGTCTTGTCAATTGACTTTACTTGTCAAGTTGGCTGGGAAAGTCATACATTGAGATCCAATGACTACAAGATACTGCAATATCATAAATGTGAGCTGGTCACCAAGCCCTGAATTGTGATCATGTGACTTTAAAGGTGGTATGATAGTCACAATTTCACGAACAGGTTATGTCACTTTTCCCAAGCCTACAGTAACTTCTAACCATTGTTAAAAAAAAAAAAACAGTTGTATGTTGAGAACTAACTTTAATGCTACCTGAACTCATGGGATGTAGATCTTTATGCCAAGAAGCTGAAGAAACTTCTTGGATGAGAAGTGAAACGTCTTCAAAAGAAAAACCAGAAAGTCCAGTTGCCCCTTGAAAAGGCATATTTGAAACTTTCCTCTAAATGTTCTGTCTGTGTTTGCATATAACTGGACTGAGGCAGGCATCCAGCTTGCTAGCCTTGTTGAAAGAAAGAGAAAAGCAAGTAATAGATGGTTTTTTCACATTTTCTTCCATAAAGAGCACAGGGCAGGAATACATTATCCTTATGACAGTTTTCTCAAAAACAATCCAGTAGCAGTCTTCGGGAAACTTGAAAACTAAACTATAAACAAAAAGTTTCAGGAGTTATATTTTATGGCAACCCTTATTATCCTTCATGGTAATTCTGCCCCTAACTTGGTCTAAATATGGAAAGTGCTGCATTTGAACTTCTGAGAGATAACTTCCAATGTTATAGCCAGTTATCCTTAGTGGTTCACTTGGGTCTAATTTACCTCCATCCTAATGGCCTATATAAATATTGATGACTTAGGAAGGGGCTGCAAAATTTGAACTCTAAAAGCGTATTGGTTTTGCATGGGGGTGAGGGAAACATAAAATTAGCCTTGATACTGCTTCTCACAAATGACAAGCCTGTTAAGAATCAAAATAGCCAAGGTGTTAAAGACTACTCGCAATAGGATTTTATAAATATATAAAAAAAGAAGCATTAAAATTATACAGGACAATGCTGCAGGAAAGTTTACTGGAAAATTTGTGAGCAAGTGGTGTGGTGAGAATTCAACATCAGCTTGAATGGGAGGATATGACCAAGCTACTTGTTGCTTTGCAGAAGAGATAAACTACTGAAGCTTTCACATCCCTTATTGAACCCTCAGAATTTACTTTGATTGTTACAAAATTCTAAACTAAAACTAGAGGGGTATAAGCCCTAAAGAAAATTATGTGTATCTTTAAAAATAAAAGTGGGGGGGGGTCTTTCCCCAACCTGAAAATATGGTCCTGCCCATGAATGATATAGTCTCTCTTACGTTCTGCAGGCCACAATTGGTAGGTGGCTCACATTAAGTGTGCTCCTGGATACCAGATAATTTTCCACTCCTGAAAGTCTGCATTTTTATAACTTCCTTTTATGCCAGAGACAGCATGTGAGGCCTAATAGTTAGTAAACTGCATTATGCATTCAGTACTTGCAAGTCTCAAAAAAACCTAATGCGCCAGGACATAGAAAAAGGGTTAAGAAGAAGGTTACTTTTCATCTTTTCTCTGTGTATCTGCTTTTACTATTATTTCATGCAAATATATAGATTCAGAAAGTTATAAAGGAATTTAGGCGCTGCAGTGATGAGGTTAATTTTCCCTCAAGGTTGTAAAGTTGGACTTCCTTTTGAGTCAGGTTCGTTTACATACGTTTACAGATTTTGCCAGATTGATAATAGCCCTTGATGTTGACTGAAGAATTAACTCGAGAGAGGGAGAGGGAGAGTGAGGGAGAAAGAGAGACAGACAGACACATCTTAAATATAATTCTGACAGATAATTTCAATGGGGTTCTGAATTATGGCATTAAGGGTTTGCAGTTTTTCAGATTCTGTGTAATTTAAGACTGATAGATGACCTATCAGGAAGGCACTTGATGTACATAGTGCATTAGATTTTACTATCAAAACATCAAACTTCTAGTATCCTGCATTTCTTCCTCAGTCCTCTGTATAATTAGTTTGGTGTGGTTTTATGCTTGTTATTATTTCAAAATGCCAATTTTATATTGTTCTTTTATTCTAGGTAATTTAAATACGTTTGTTTTAATTTGGCTAATTGTCATTTCAACTTTTAAGGAACTGCCCTAGTAAAGTGCAAAGAGTGAGTCTTAAGGGCCATTATTATATAAGGAAAAAAGAAAGCCCTATATACCTTTGCCAGAAAGGCAGGATATAAATCATAAAAATGCAATGATTATAGGTAACCCCTGAGGATAGTTACACAGTTCTTTGTCCAACATCAAGGCAGAGGAGACACAAACACAGAAATTGTGAAAAGTATTTCAGAGGCCCAGTTTTTACCTTCCGAGTATGCTCCCTTTTGTAACTCAAGAGATGAGAAAACGGAGTTTGAAGACTCTCAAGCTCATGCCCACAAGGGCAATATCTCTCTCCCTTTGCTTTCAAGCAGAGTTACTCTAAGGAGCAATCCCATCCAGACATAATTTTTTTTATTTTTACAAGTTCAGTTTTCCCTTCATATCTGTGTGATTAGAATAAAACATTGGGTATTCAAAACTTGACTTGTTTCGTTTGTAGTTGCATTAATGATGCTGGAGAGTGGGATGTAATGATTGCTGTGTATAAGTGGTATAGACATCAAAGGAGATCCGGTTTAAAGAACAGAAAGGAAGAAAGACCCCCGCCCCCTGCATCCTTCGGCTCAGGCTGCTGAATAACAGATGAGCACACTGCACATTTATAATTTATAACCTGAAAAATCATGGGGTAAATTTGTGTTCTACAGAGGGAAGAAGGCACATCCTTTCCACACTCGGTACTTGTTTATCTCTCTCTCTTTTTTTTTTTAAAAAGTGAAAGACAGGGTTTTGCATGATGTTTTCCAATCAGACAGATGATCTGTAAAAGGTACCACCATAGGATTTTAAGTGACTGGCCATTTCTCACCATCTTTCCATTTCAATTGTAGTGCATATATTCGGGATTTTTTTTTCTCTCTTCTCCCTTTTAACCTGTTCCCTAATTTTAATCCACACTGCACGACTATTCCAACAATACAAGGAGAAAAATATCATGTGAAAATATCTGTGTCGTACATACCCTTTGAATGGAGTATTTAGCATTAAAATATTAGACACTGTTAGGCATCTTGTGGCTAATGATTAGTCATGTGGTTATAAGGACTATGTATCTGTAAGAATTTAAATGTCAAGTTTCATTTCATTTCTTATTGCTAAGGTACAAGATCCACACTAGATTCTTCCCTTGCCCTTTTCAGCTACGTGCAAATGCTGTCTAATTATCAATCCTATTTTATTTACGGATGGAACTGCTAGCAGACTGTTATCATAGTATGTATTCAACAGTCCTATGAAAAGTTCCACGTTTATTATTTGTTTGATTTTGTGAAAAACTTAAAAATAAGGGAATTGCAAATAGAAATATTAGCTATAGTCTTTTTTTAGGCTATTGAACATAGTTGGTGAAGTTAAGACTTCCTTTTGTAGACTCTTTCATTTTGGCCAATTTATCCTATAAGCCAATTTAAAGAGAAAGGAAGATTAATAGAGTAATCCTAAAATGTTACATTATATTATAATGCAATGACAAGCATAACTAGGCTACCTTGGCTGTGTTATATGAAAATGTCACAATTTTGAGTAGACTTTTTTTTCTCTTATCCTAGCTTTATTATTTTTTATAAATAACTCAAGGCAGTAAATATGTCTAATACTCCTTCCTCCTCCCATTTTCCCTACCACAACAAACCTGTGACATGGTTTGGGCTGATAGAGAGCTACTGACTTTAAGTCACCCAACTGGCTTTTGTGTCTGAGGTGAGACTCCCCTCTAGCCTAGTGCCTTAACCACTAGACCAACCTTATCTTATATGAAAATATCACAATTTAAGTAGTTATTTCCCCACCACCAAATTCCCTTTCTCCCTCCATTTCATCTTTTCTTATATATTAATTGTTGTTCCCATTCAGTTAATGAAGAATGTTGGTAACTCACATTGTATTTATGAAACAAAAAGCAAGAAAACAAACTTAAGCCATTTTGCCGACCAAATCCAAGGTAATTCAGCACTGGTAGAGATCTGAAGACAAGGCCTCAGCTCGTGTCTCCCTTAAAGATTGATTTTTTTTCCTTGTTAGTCTTTTATATTCCATTCAGTTGGGAATTCACCAATCTCTGAACATGTCCCTCTGTATTACCCCTCCAGGTCAAAACAAAAGGAGATTGAGTTCACTTTTATAACAAGATACAAGTTTTTTTTGTGCTCGGAGTATGTGAAAGAGAAATGGCTATTATGCTGAGAATCCAATCAGGGCTTGTTGAATTCTAGGAAGCCTCTGGCATTTGTGAAGAGAGTGGTAATTTCATTCACCGAGAACTGGAGGAGGAAAAGCACGAGCTGCCCACAAAAAGAGTTGAAGACTAAATTAAATCTGAAGAAGAGCTCTTACCAAAGCTCCTCCCGCAAGGCTAATGAAGTTGAATTAAGGCTGTTAAATCAACTTGTGATTGCCTATCATTGCAGAGGACCCATATATTA